ATTTTTACCTTTTTGTTTAAACTAAATATGCCTATTATGGCACCAATCCTATGAACATTTATTCAACATGACCATTAGTCACACTGAAATTAATGGTACCATTCATGGTAATAAAACTAAGTGTGCATATAAATGCTGTTAGCAAAAGTTTCCATTTCTTCTGATGGAAGAATTTAAAATATTTTTGATCCGTGTACATAAGAATGTAATGGGTGACTGTGCACTTAAAGTACAGAGAAGTGGAGTCTGCAAATCTGTGGTCTATTCCCTACTTGCCCAGACTTGAGAGCTGACTCTCCAAATCACCAGCTTCTCAAGTCTCATCATTTTCTATCTGCAAAACGTGGAGAATTATGCAATGAATTGACTTGTGCAAGTGAATGAGTATCACTGCCCTCTACTGAGTATTTCTTTTAGATTTAAAGTGAAATTTAAAGGAACAATTTGAGCATCTCTAACAGTCAATTAATAAAAGAAATACATTCTATTAAACTTGGAGGAGCTGACCAGACAAATAAAAACAATGCCCTGCCCCCAGACCTAGGAACTGGAAGGCAGGCAGAAACAAAATAAGAATAAACATAGTGGGTATTATACCTTGGGACAATAATACAAAAGTTGATATTCTGGTATTTCACTAATGCAGGCCACAAAAATTATGCTAAATAAATTCAACAAGAAAACAAAGCCAGGGAGGTACTAATGCTGAGAGATACACAAGAGAACAGTTGAAAGTAATGTGAACACAAATTTACAGGTGATAAAACTGCAAAAATGACGAGCTTATTTTGGTCCTGGTTTGCAAGGAAAAAGACAAAACTTCCAAAAAGGGAGGAACACTCCCTCTTTCTACAGTTTTAAATTAATATTTTAAGATGTTTTGCATCAGCCCCTGACAGAAAGTTATCTGAAAACTTTACGAAAGTGAAGGAAATCATAAGGGAAAGCCCACCAAACAGAGAGACTGGGAAGATGAAAGAAATATTAGAAAACCTAAATCCATATAATTTTGTCAAGGCCCTACATATTCTGAAATTTTGCGCCATGGTATCCACCACCCCTTGCTCCACATGTGCTCCAGAATTCAAAGGCTTACTCTGGAAGATAAAAAATAGCCTGCAAGTCCTGATTATGTGAAAAGAGGCTGGAAAACATGAATCAAATATAATAAGCACAGTGATGTCAGAGTCTGCAGAGAGCCTGAAACAACAGTGCTTACAAGTATGAATCTCTCATAAATCTCAGTAAAAATACCTGCATATAATAACAGCCTTAGTTTGTCTGTCTATCCATAATGCTTTATGAGCACTCTGACTGGTTGTCTCGGCAACCAATCACAATGCTGACTGAAACAACCAATTGAAGTGCTCTGCACAGACAGACACATGGTGGAGTGCTGCCATGACAGTAGGGATTGAGCGCTGGAGTGGTGGGACAAGACCAGCTTTGCTTGGCCACCACCCTGCTTCTTGGAGGCAGTGGCGGTGTTGGGTGCTGGTCACCCCCTGACTCTGGCCTTGCCGCTACATCCAAGGTGTGGCCTCACACCCTGTCTTCCCCTGGCCCTGCTCCTTCGAGGCAGCAGTGGTGCTGGCCAGCTTCATCCCTGGCACAGGGGATGCAGGGGATGTCAGGGACAGACTGGCACGGTGGAGCACTGCCATGATGGAGATGGAGCAGGGGGGCAAGCCCTGTGCTATGCCGCCAGCACCCTGCACTGCTGCTGCCTCCAAGGAACAAGGCTGGGGCAGGGGCCAGGCCACCCCTTGGATGTGGCAGTAGCATGGGGTGCTAGCGGTGGGGAAAGCTTGCCCCCACACTGCTCCTGGCAGGCGGCAGTGGTGTAGGATGGTGGGTAGCAGCGCTCCATCCCTGTTCTCCCCCTTCAGCAGGGATGGGGAGGAGGCGGGGAAGAGGGGAGGAAGGGAGAGAGAGAGGGGAGTGGGATGCGGAATAAGTGGTTTCTGGAGGCAGTGCAGTCCAGAAGAGCTAACTATTTTAAAGAAACCTTACTCGAGGGTGCAGGAACAAACCATCCCAAAGCTCAGGAAGAGTAACAAGTATGGCAAAAGACCAGCTTCGGCTTAGCAGGGAACTCTTCAGTGAGCTAAAACACAAAAAGGAAGCTTATAAGAAGTAGAAGCTTGGACAACTGGATTAGGGAGGAGTATAAGAGGATTGGCTCAGGTATGTAGGGATGAAATCAGGAAGGCCAAGGCACAACTGAATTTGCAGCAAAGGATGTGAAGGGTAATAAGAAGGGCTTCTACAGGTATGTCAGCAACAAGAGAAAGATCAGGGAAACTGTAGATCCCTTACTGAATGGGGGAGGCAACCTAGTGACAGCTGATGTAGAAAGCTGAAGTACTCAAGGCTCTTTTTTACCTCAGTCACCACAGGCAAAGTCAGCAACCAGACTACTGCATGTGGCAGCACAGTTTGGGGAGAAGGTAAGCAGCCAAGAGTGCTGAAAGAACAGGTTAGGGACTATTTAGAAAAGCTGGATGTGTACAAGTCCATGGGGCTGGACCTGATGCACCTGAGGGTACTGAGGGAGTTGGCTGATGTGACTACAGAGCTGCTGGCCATCATCTTTGAAAACTTGTGGCAATTGGGAGAAGTCCTGGACAACTGGCAGAGGGCAAATACAGTGTCCATCTTGAAGAAAGAAAAGAAGGAGGATCTAAGGAACTACAGACCAGTCAGCCTCACCTCAGTCCCCAGAAAAATCATGGAGCAGATCCTCAAGGAATCCCTTCCTAAGCACTTGGAGGAGAAAGCGATTAGAAACAGTTAGCATGGATTCACCAAGGGCCAGTCATGCCTGACCAACCTTACTGACTTCTAAGATGAGAGGACAGACTCTGTGGATGTAGGGAGAGCAGTGGACATGGTACACCTAGACTTTAGCAAGGCTTTTGATAGTTTCCCACAACATTCTCATCAGCAAGCTAAGAAAAGTCCAAGTTGGATGAATGGACTGCAAAGCATATGGAAAACTGACTGGATTGTTGGGCTCAAAGGGTAGTAATAAATGGCTCAACTTCTACTTGGTAGCAGCTGGTGTTAACTGGAGTGCCCCTGGGATTGGTCCTAGGGCAGTTTTGTTCAATATCTTCATCAGTGATCTAGAAGATAGGGTGGAGTGCATCCTCTGCAAGTCTGCAGATGACATCAAGTTGGGTGGAGTAGTAGATATGCTGGAGTGTAGGGTTAGGATTCAGAGACCTCAAAAAATTGGAGGATTGGGCTAAAAGAAATCTCAAGAGGTTCAATAAAGATAAGTACAAAGTCCTACACTTAGGATGGAATGATCCCATGCACTGATACAGGTTGTAGACTGACTGACTAAGCAGTAGCTCTGCAGAAAAGGACGTGAAAATAAGCAATATGAGCTAACAATTTGGCCTTGTTGCAAAGAAGGCTAACAGCATACTGGGCTGCCTTACTAGGAGTGTCACCAGCACACTGAGGGAAGTGATTGTTCTTCTCTATTCAGCACTGGTGAGGACATATCTGGAGTATTGTGTTCAGTTTTGGGTCCGCCACTACAGAAAGCATGTGGATAAATTGGAGAGTCCAGCTGAGAGCAACAAAAATGGTAAGGGGGCTCAGGCACATGACTTCTGAGGAGAGGCTGAAGGAACTGGGCTTATCTAGTTTGTAGAAGAGAAGACAGAGGGGGAATTTAGTAGCAGCCTTCAACTACCTGAAGGGTAGTTCCAAAGAGGATGGAGCTAGACTGTTCTCGTGGTGGCAGATGACAGAACATGGAGCAATAGTCTCAAATTGCAGCAAGGGAAGTTTAGTTTAGATATTAGGAAAAACTCTCTTGTGAGGAGGGTAGTAAAGCACTGGAACAGGCTACCCAGAGAGGCTGTGGCATCTCCATCTTTGGAGGTTTTTAAGACCCAGGTAGGCAAAGTCTTGGGTGGGATGATCTAGTTGGGGATGATCCTGCTTTGAGCACGGGGTTCAAACAGATGACCTCCCGAAGTGCCTTCTGTTAGGGTGACAATATTTGGATCTTAGAGAGCACTGGATTTGCAGCTGAATACAAGGCATGACCTGTGGCCTAGCACAACTGCTAACCACAAGGCAGAATGATATATTAAAAATATACTGCAAGATGCTTAGGCAACCAGATTTTGAATGCTTATGCTAAGCCAGCTATTTGCTTATGCTAAGTAACCATTTTAACTGTGTCACCCATTTTCTGAGGAAAAAGCAGCAAGTGTGAGTCTGTGTGCTGTGAACCAGCTACAGTGAGAAACAAGATAAGATACAGGGGCCCAAAAAGGGTGGAAGATGGTACAACCTGAGACAAAAAAAAAAAGAGACTGGAATGTGAAAAACAACATGCAATTGATAACAGAATCCAAAGATGAACATATGCAAAAAGGTGAATAGCAATTGGTGAAGAAGCCTCCAGAAGCTTCCAGGTTTTGGTCCAAGTCTGCCCATTGACTGAAGAGCAGGAATCAAGGTCTTAGACATGCGCTTACAGCAAAAAGACATGTAAATAAATGAAATGCATAAGCAATTCCATGCTAATTAAGCAACCAGTAAACAGAGGAGGAGCTTAAGATGGGAGGAGAAATGGGTGGAACGTAAGGCAGGACAAGGAGTAGGATAAATGTCAATGAGTATAAACCAAAGTGTATAAATATGGGAAAAACTATTGTTTATTGCTGCTCCCTGCATTCTGTCAGTGTGGGAGCTCACCCGAAGCTGTCTCCATTCTAATAAAAAGCTGTTGCAAGCAATGTGTGCTGGTGTTTGCTCCCTGCTCTGCTCTGGCTAATGAGTAACAGGATCCATGAGTAATTGGACCGTCGCCTCCCTAGTCGTTGGGCACCGCATGGAGTTGGGGTCTAACACCTTCCAACCCTAATTTTCTATGATTCTACAAATTATAAATTAAAATTAAACCATGGGAAAGTATGGATTCTTTCTCCATTTTTCCCCTTGCTCATTAAAGTAATTGTCCCCCTTCTTACCTCCATTAGGACCAGGGTCAGGAGGTCCTAGACTTATGCCCCCCCAGGATCGTCCAGTCCATCCTCTCCCTTTCTTCACCTTTACTTTTCTTCTTTTTTCCCATTCAACCCTCCGACGAAAAATTTCAGTTTGAATCTCCTTTTGCTCTCTGTTGCTTTGGGAAATTGCCTGCATTCGTCCTTCTACCATCACAGGAGAATTGAGACCAGGCCAAAGAATTCCGGAAAGCCCTTGAAAATATCAAAACATGGAAAAGATTTTTCTTGCATTTTTTACAGATTCAAGATTATAACTCAACAGCCTAAAAGTTAAATCCAATAAAATGAATCCAGTGTTCTCATGAATTTCAACTGCCTCCACGGACCAGAACTTGTAATAAAACTGGCACTAACTGAAACAGGACATCATCATCCAGACTACCTAACTGAAAGAGCAACTCATTTAAATGCCATTCTGACCCCATGGAAATTAACAGACATGTGTTGCTAGGTCAGGGTGGGCAATTACTTTGGCTGGACGGCTGCTTAAAAAGATTTGGTGAGCTTTCAAGGGCCACATGGGTAGCCCCACCCCTTGACAGTTGCCCTACCCCCTGGTTGCCATCTTGGGACCAGAAGTCCCGTCCCCTAACCCCTGACCTTCACTACCAGAAGTTGTCCTTTCAGGAGGTGGGGGGGGGGGGTGCCATCTCAGAACCAGAAAAAAACTAAATCACACACGAAAAGTCAAACACCTACTATAATATATTTTAATTTTATTACAAAAACTAGCTAATTGCCCGTCAAACACGACAGGGCGGAGGGGGCTGGGATGGAGTGCTGCCCCATGCTGCCAGGGTTCTGCCTCTTGCAGGGAACTGTGGGGGGGAGGAGGCCAGCTGGCCCTGGCTCCCCCACCCCCCGTCTGGTCCTTGGTGCAGCTTAGGAATCATGACAGCTCTCCCCCCATGCTTGGAGCACTCTGATTGGCTGTTTCCATCACCCAATCAGAGCACAAATAAAATGTTACAGACAGACGAACTGACAGACTTAGGCTTTTATAATATTAGAATATTTTTGTCATGATTTGCATTTGCATAGTGTATATAGAAACTACTGCATAATAACTCAAAAATAAAGTCTTATTCTTGTATAGTGCGCATGGCTCTGGCTGGTGCTGCACATTGTGGTGAAGAATCCAGCCGTTGCCAGGCTGCCTCTATTGCCGGCGCTCCCCACCAGGCATACGCAGCCCCTCCGCACTCATGTGCCACTGGAGGGAAGCTCCATGGGCTGGAGCTGGCAGCCTTCACTGCCCTCTGTAGCGCAGGCCCTGGGACTCTGTGGGGAAGCAGGGGCCGGGGCTCCCCTCCACTTCTGGTGTATGTCCCAGGACCTGTGCAGCAGGGAGCTGCGAAGTCAGTTGGCTTAAGCCCGTGGAGCTTCCCTCCAGTAGCATGAGAGTGTGAGGGCTGCACATGTACAGCAGGGAGCACCAGCAATAGAGGTGGCTCGGCAGGGGCTGTGCTTCTCACTGAGATGTGCAGCGCCAGCTGGAGCCATGCGCTGCTGGGTCCCAGACACCTGTGCTGGACACGAGTGCTCCTGCTTGCTGCTGCAGCTTCCACCTGTGGGGTTGCACACCATGGAGAGTGTGCGTAGGGGGGCAGGGTTCCCACACTCCCCCACCCTCCCTCACAACAACATCCTGAACACCCGAGCTCCATACTGTTGCCAGTCTCCCTAACGCAACACCCCCCCCCCGAGCTCTGCGCGGCTGCCAGCCCCACACTCCTGCCCATCTGCAGCTCCTGCCTCTGCTGCTTCCATACCTGCTGCCCAGAGCTGGGAAAGCCAACTAGATCTCTCAGCAGCTGCAGCAGTGGCAATACCAGTCCCACTTGAAAGCTGTGTGCTGGCCAGGCTGGGCCCTTCTGCCCATAAGGGTGAAAGTGAGGCACAACAGGGTATGCTGGTGGGGGGGTGTGTATACATGGGCTCCTCGCTCCCACCCTCATGGGCAGAAGGGCTGAGCAGGGTACAGTTCATGGGTGGGCACTGCAGGCCGGATGAAAGTGCCTGGCAGACCGTATTTTGCCCGCCCCGTGCTAGGTCTACTTAGAAGAAACATTATAAACTAAAAATCACTGTAAAAGTGCAAGATCGTTCTTGAATCCTATGATTATTGACAAGTTTACCTTCACCAAGAACCTGCCCTTTATTGAGATCCTTCCTTATTCTTTTCTTTGTCCGCTTTCCTCTTCCTTTCTTTGGTCTCAAAGCAGTGTTTGCCAG